ATGTATCAAAGAAAGAAAGGACAGACAAGGAAGGGGGGTAGGACACATTGGCTGAATTCGATTTCAGTGGCTGCATCCTCCGAAGGTCAGGTAATGTTTGGTTTATCGAAATGTTTTTATCTGTCCCTGTGTAAATGGGTTTGGCTGACATTTAAGGACTATTAATCTGATAAGATGCAGTTGTTGAAGCTCCTTGAAAATGTTAAGAACACCAAGAACAGCAGGGAGATGGTCGGTATTCATTCTTTTCCTGCTTTGTCAACTCTCAGGGTTGCTAGGCAACAGAGCGTACAGTGGTGAAAGCCGCGGCAGGCTGGATCTGTTTGAATTCACAATCAAAACTCTTGTGGTCTCCTTATTTTCACAAAGGATCCAGTCCAGATAGATCAGGTCCTTGGAAGGTGCAGCCTTTAAAATCTAACACACCAATGGAATTAGGGAAGGAAGGACACTAAGACAGGAAGTAGTACAGATGGAACAAAGGAAAAGAAGGAAAGGACACAAGGAAGAAGGGAATTGCAAAAATAAAGGAAGAATGGTTTAGATGATGGGATGGCAGGATTAAACGTGGAAACAGAAATGTTCCTCTTTTTCATATTTGCAACTGTTTGAACAATAGAGATCTAATTCCCTGACTATTTAGGGAAGCATGTTTTTCTTTAAAACATCCACGTCAGAATAAATTGAGGGAAATATCTCACAAGAAAAACATCAAGTATTTGAAAAAACAACAATAAAATTTCAGTACCCTTAAAAAAAGGGTTTAAAAAACTCTTGATAAAGACCTAAAAAAAAGAATAAAAGAAATTCTGACTCACTGGAAGCAGAAAAAAAGAAGAGGCTCTAGATATCTCCAAATAACAAGACGAATTTTCTGCTGACTAAATAAACCCATAAAAGACTGTAAAGTCCCAGAATAAAAAGAGACAAAACAACCCCCGCCCATTTGGATGACCTAAATATCCAAGACATTAGCGACAGGCAGAAAACAGCATAGATGCTTCAACTGCAAAGATAAATAAAAACACAGAGTGTACTCACCACCTCTGTGGACGTCTCTGAATGCTCTGAGGTGACATGCTCCTGTAGGGATGTCTCAGTGAAGCCCATCTTACCACAATAAGGACATGTGAACGACTGAGGTTGTTCCACGGAAAAGGTATCTCCTCCATAATACAAATCTGCAACGAAGCATTAAAGACAAATCCATTTGTGACAGCCAAAGACGCTAAAACGTTTTATCTGCATGTGCTCAATAAGCAACTAAGGTTACTCATAGCAGGTCCTTACCATAGTCTACTCTGGTTAATATACACTGCATGGGGTGTTCTGTGGTGTGTCGTGTCGTAGTGGCCCCGCTCTCGTAGCACGATGCACACAAGTCGTAGTCGTAGCAAATTAGACACTTAAATCGCCTTCCTCTAAAGTTTCCCTTTAAACATGCATCACAGCTCACACCTGCAAAACAATAAAAAAAAAGATGACAATCAGACATTTCTAGCTAGAAATTATACCAAAATTACAAAATTATCTAAACATTTTGCATTCAAGTTGAAAAAACATTTTTGTTTATGAATACACTCTTTCCAGGAGTCCTTAGAGGGCACAGTTTTAGTTTCACTTGGCTTAAATTCTTGGTAAAATCTTCTTTAAGGAAAATTTGCCTTATTAATAAAAAAATGAATCGACAGATTAATCCATTGGCAAAATAGTTGTTAGTTGCAGCCCTAGTTATACGCCATAAAAAAATGATTGAACTGTAATTTAACCAGATTCAGGTATAGTTTCCTAACTTTTTTTTTTATTCTTTAAATATTTAAATTCTTTATAATATATCGTACAAAGTGAGAACATAGAATACTTAAGAAGTTAAAAACTACTAATAGTTGTGCCTTTTCTTGATATTTAAGCATTCTGTAATCCAAATAACTAAACATGAGTTACGATATTTGCAACAATATTGAAACTTTATGCCCTTACTGTTCCTTCATTAACAGGACTTATAATAAAGCTTTGATTAAACAGCTGATTGTAAGAAGGCATTGCACAAGTCATTTCACTAGTGAGTTAAAAAATGCCTTATTTGGCCTGCATGCCATGTAAACAAGTATTAAGGGCATTTCCTGTGACTGGTAAAAAAAAAATCTCAGAGGGCTACAAATGTTTTAAACAGAAAAGTTAACCAAACATTTGTTAATCAGGCCAAACATGACTGAACAATTTATGAATAAATTAAAAGTTTTTAAGGTGATACCAGAAAGGTTGTGCTTCTTTTAGATCAGCACAAAATAACTGTACAGACTGAATAAAAGCAAAGAAGATAAAGGGTCCACAGTTAAGTTTGTACACTGGAATAAAATTCTGTCAACATTTTATAAGATAAATAATAACATGTTTATTAACTAAACTCATAGCCAAATAGGTCATATTCTTCAATTAGAAATATGGCTCAAAAGTGATTTAACAGAAAACAATAAGCTAATTTAAGTCAAAACAGCACTCTGAATTGCAGTCTGATTATGTTTGGAGGCCTCAGACTTTCTATTTCTTTAGGTGACAGTGCACTTACAACATTGTAATACCTTAAAACAACGTCGACTCTGGTCTAGAAAATACGAAATAGAAAGACTTGAACCGTTTTCAATTAGTGTCATAGTGTAAAACTGACTTGCGATACTATAGTAGCTAATAAGCTATTTCTGAATCAAATGCTTCTCATATTAGCATAGATTAGCCAGCATGCTAGCCCAGCTAATGTAAGGTAATGTAGCACCTAGCCGTGGCTAGCTGCTAACTGCTGCTGTCTCATTGCGAGCAGGTTGAACGAGGTTACAACAGCTTCTTTAACATGACAGCCACATGACTTCTAACGCTGCCGACGGCAAATATAAAAAGTCAAGGGACACGCTGGGAAGCCCGCCAAGAAAAGCTTAACTACCCCTCCTGACGTGAAAAAGCAGTTGGCGAAGCTAGTCGTGGAGCTAGCCGATCAGGTAAAGTAGTCCCCATCCCGGGCGCTGTGGTTCCGTTTGTTAACTCACCCTCATGTCGGGACATCCTACAAACAGCGACACAGCCCCTCCTCGGGCTCCCCAGCGGACTCGGTGAGGAACGACGCAGTTTTTGAGTCTCTTAGCTGGTAAACCCTTCCAACCTCGTCTCTTTTTCGAGCAAGATGGATCCCCAGCAGCTTACAGTTTGTTCTGCTTCCCGTCCCAGAGTGTCACTTTATGGCTGAATGTTGCGAAGAATGGGCACTAGGGGGAGCTGTTTGACAATTTAGTTAAAAGAGGAATTTAGCCCTGAGCTTGGACTGGTAGGAAACGTACGTCTCTTTGTTGACAAATACTTGGATAAAGTACATAAAGTGCAACTGAAAACGTTTGTCATAGCCTGTCGTATAGCTAAAATATAGGTTTTAATTTAACTAAAACAAGACTTAGAAAAGAGTCCCCCCCCCTTATTTCAGCAATTAATAAATAAATAAACTAAGAATTGTTGAAACATGAAATGCAATCAGGTTGGCTAATGTTTACAGAAAACAAGGTAGTTAATCATTCAGTTTAACAGTCTTCTGGATCAGCAAAAAAAAAAAAAAAAAAAAAATCCTGATTAATATTTAGGTTTCAATGTAAACAGATATTGCTTTTAATAGTAATTCAATTCAAAAGTTTAAAACCAATGCAAGTAGGCCTACTAAAGTGATATTTATACAAGCTTTAGTTTATTAGGAACTTCGAATTCTATATTGTACAAATTAAAAATGAGTATGATCACTACGGAAGAGGATTATGGCCACTGAAAAAATGAAAAAAGTTAACTGATTTTTACATTTTATTTCAGTATAATATGAGAAAAAAGTACAGATTCTTACTTTTTTTCATTTTATTTCAGTATAATATGAGAAAAAAGTCAGAATTCTGACTTTAATCTCAGAATTCTGACTTTTTTTCGGAGAATTCTGACCTTTTTTTCTCAGAATTCTGACTTTAATCTCAGAATTCTGGCAGCTAACAAACATGTTAGCATCAAGCCATAGCCATGTCTGTTTTAAAGACTAAACTAGCTCTCTTGTTTTAATCACCTTCTGCTCCTCCATTAATGAAATAGCATCACCAAGGACCCCTCGGGCACGTAAAAAGTCGCCTAATTCCATCATTTTCCTCCAATGTGTTACTGGCCCTCCCAAACAACTCACATTTTGTCAGTGAAGCTGAGTGCTCCTACATCTCTTCCTTCATAGTGCCCATCTACATTAAGATCCAAATTTCTGAGGTTAAAGTTGGAATTCTGAGGAATAAAGTCAGAATTCTGAGATTAAAGGCAGAATTCTGAGGGGAAAAAGTCAGAATTCTGACTTTAATCTCAGAATTCTGAGGGAAAAAGTCAGAATTCTGAGATTAAAGTCAGAATTCTGACATTTTCCTCATATTAAACTGAAATAATATTTAAAAAGTGGCCCTAATCCTCTTCCATAGATCACAGATATGATGAGGAGGTGAAAAATAAAACTTTCTACTGTATCAAACAAATAACAAAGACTCAATTCTTGATCAGGTTTTCTTTTGCACTTTGACTTATTGTATTAATGCCACAGAGCTTGCAGACAAGAACTGATGGGTTTTTATTTAATGCCTTTAGCACAACAGCATTGTTGTGTCTGTGTTTGTGATCTAAAATAAAAAAAAAAGTCTTATAAAGTGTATTTGTCCTCAATTTAGGTAGGTAAAAAGTATATGACAATTATTTTTACCCTTAAAATAAAATAATATATAATGCACTTGGAATAAGATAATTGACTTGTTTTGTTTTTCCATTTTAAATGTAAATCAACCTTTTTTCATTGGCTAATGAACTCACCAACCTGCTCAAATTAAATACTTACTGATATTTACATTTTTGCAAAGATACTCTATATAGTTTAGGTCAGACAAGTTTACCAAATAGCATAAATAGCATGGCTTTTTCAAGATAGAAGGTCAGTGCTTGAATTTGAAACTATTTTTATTGATCTTGTGTAATTTTTTTTTTAACTGAATTTTAGGTTTTCCAAAGCCATTACCTGCATTGTCATCAACAAGAACAGAAATGAAAACTGTGAATATTGCACTGTTGAAATCTAATACATTAAAACTATAAAGAAATTACATTTTGATTGTATTATTATCTAACCAGATGCACCTGAACAATTCTGCTTTGCATTACTTTGCAGAACAAGTAAGTAAATGCTTAAGGTTATCAAACCAAGGAAAAGTCCTCATATATGAAAGAAAAAATAAGGAAAATACTTAGTTTCCATTCATAAAACATGGATAATCAGTGACTTCTAAACTAATGAATGCAAAAACATTACTATTTTGCTCAAAATAAATTCAAAGGTCAATTATTGGAACAAAATATAGTTTTAGATTTAAAACACTTTGCATGAAAAAATGAATAACATTTGGTGAACATTCGCTGCATAAAAGATCTTTATTAAGTATATTGTTCAGATCATCTTTGTGCAGATGACAACATACATACACTCTGACAAACCAGTGCATTATAATGAAGACTTCACAGCAGTGTGAACGGCTGGCCGTGAGCTCACAACCTTCACTTTGTGCCTTGTGCTCCTCCCTTGATGCGGCCATACATTCTGGATATACTGCTTAATACCTGTGCCTCATGTGTCTGCTGTGGAAGGTGAGAGAGCTGCAGAGTATAAAAATATTTCAAAGCTGTATTTTCCTGCTCTTAACTTTACTTTTTGTCACTAAGGTGAAAATAAAAGGCTCTTGCCTACCATGTCGTTTCGCTGTGGGATGGGGAGAAAAAGAGGAACCTGAAAAAAACGTACTGTGTACCCCATTGTGGTGTGACAGTGTGCTAATACATGCAGCTAGTTTCTTTAAAGGGCTGAAAAAAAAAACCCAAACAGATAAACATTTATTACAAATTTTAAAAATATAATCTATCTTGCAATAAAAACGGAAAAAAAGGTGAAATAACAACTTCATCCAAGTAAACTCAAATGCTCAATTTAAAAAAAAAGAAGTTCATATTGGTCTATGATTAAGCAGAAGACCGTATCAAATTTTTTATCAAAACAACATTATTTACACAAACGCTTAAGCTCCAAATTCAGAAGCCAGATAGTTTTATAAACGTGTCAAAGCAAACACAGTCTTTTCTTATTCTCGTAGCACCTGAGCGAAATCGCCTGTTACAGAAACATTAAATTAAATGCTAAATAATTCTGTACATTTTACAGCTTTACATCCATTAGCTCTTCTATTTACAGTACACTCAGAGATCTGAATAAGGGAAGGCTCTGCTGGCGCGAAATACACTCATTCATCACTGCAACCCATTAAAAGCAAAAGATGTGCCCTGTCGCTTAAGTACATTAAAATGTTACAGAAATGCTTAAAAAAATACAGTGTTTTATAACATTCATCAATCAACTATGTTTCAACAGAGCAATCAAAGCATACGTGAAAGAAATAATGCAGAGTTCTTTCTTATTTTTCATCATTGGTCTTGGTACTAAATGCTTTGGGTGACATAGGCAACTTTGGATCCTTATGGTGAAAAACCTGAGTACTTTTTCATTAACTCTTAAGTGAAGCTTTTAGAGATTAGTACGCACTTATTGGAAAAGGCTAGTTTGTCAATAGGCTGGTGAAAACATATCAAATACATCACATATACAGTGATTTACAGTAAGTGTCTTTGGCTCTTATGTAGACCCCAAACAGAGGAGCCAAAAATGTTACAACCAGCTGCTTCAAGCAGCACAGAAAACAGGTTTTCCATCGCTATGTGACATATGGCGATGGAGAAAAGAGTGGCGATAACTCTTCTTTATCCTGATGGCCCATATATCAGAGCTCTGAGGTGTCTAAGGGTTTCCTGGCATCTCTTCCATTTGGTTAACTGTTAGGACTTAATGCAGCTCTACGGACATGTCGATGCCTCAATCCGACATCTCTTCCTTTGAATAGTCCAGGGATTTTCTCTTGAAGAAGCCAAGCTGCAGAAATACAGAACTGTGTTACATGGGTGATGATGTGCTGTCCACCAAAGTAGGTTTTCTACTGAAATGTCAACATAGCTCAAGATAAATATTCACATGCACTTTTTTTAAAAATTGACGTAACTATTTTTCCTGGTGTCTGAAACTTTAGCCACACTAAATCTTTCCTGTTTTAGTTTAGTTGTAATTAACAAAATTATTTGAATTTGCTAAATGCCAGAATTAAAGATAAAACTTTATTTTTCTTATCCTTTTGGAAATTAAAAAATATGAATAGGGTAACCTTGTAACTTTAAGCAATTTCATTTTTGCTGAATTGAAATAATGAGATAATTAGTTACGTAAAAGGAAATATTACCCTCCAGAGAATAAAGATAACAAGGGCTAAGATCAACAGTCCTATCAAGATACTGATGATGATGATCCAAAAAGGGATTCCTCCAACTGTTTCCTTTGAAACTTGGATATTTACCTGACAAGTGCAAGCAGACAATGTTAACACTTCCATACATCTCTATAAACAGGTGTATTAAGTGACCAAAATGGGGACTTCAGTTATATAATTGCAAATAATGACTTACAGTCCTGTTCTTTGCGTTGCTGTCCAGTTCAAACAGATTAGTGTGTTTGAAGGCAAGTGAGGCGTTCACCTTCATGTAAAAGCTAGAAAACTCACCCTGCAGAGAAAGCACACTTCATTGGGATTTGATCACCCATATGATGTATCACACTTAAGATCAAAAATAGTACCTTCATGCAGAGCCAGGTAATAACTTGTTACGTTTTCTTGAGTAAATTATAGAAAAATTTACATTTTGGAGTAATAGTATTTTAATGTACGTTGTAGTTTTCTTAAAGGTATAGTGGAGGATGTTCTTTTTCTGGGTGATTCATCAAAATAAGTGGTTCTCCTAATTGTTAATCATTCTGGTGATATGTGAACGGAAGACCGTCCTACGTGCTCATGCCCATTTTCACTAACTGTTGGTGAGTCTGACAGAGGAAAAATTGGAAATTTTCTTTTGGAAAGTAAGTTTTTATGATTGATGCAAACAGCAACTTGTTAATAGAGCGTACGCGAGGAGAAATAGGCTCATGCACGCTCTCGCACGCGTTTAATAGGCGTTCGCTGTCGCGAATTTTTGAAATGACCCGTCCTCTCCACTTTAAAAAAAATGCATATGCACAACCCTGTACCCGCTCCCGAGAGGGAACGCCTATTAAACGCACGCAAGAGCATACATGAACCCATTTCTCCTCATGCATGCTCTATGTACAAATTTGCTTTGCTCGTACAAGCTTACTTTCCAAAAGAAGATTTGCAATTTTTCCACTATGTCAGACTCAGGACTGACTTACTTAAACATATCACTAGAATTATTGAAACTTATTTATTTTGATTATCCACCCACAAAAAGAACATCCTCCATCTTTAACCTTATGTTATAAAAAAAAAACAATTGTGGTAAAGTGTTTCTTCTGTCTAACTTGTAATCTTGTAGTCATGTTATTCATTCATCTTTTTTCTTTACTTACCAGAACATGCACGTAACTCTCTGACTTATAAAACCATTTAAAACATTTAATCAGCTGTTAGGAGCCATAATTACCCAGTAGTTGAGTACTCATTTCACTTTTCAACTTTTTTACTCTTGAGTGTTTTTTTTGGATTGAGTAAAAAAAAAGTTCAAATAGAGCTAAATGATCTAATCTTACCTCAATGAAGGTAGGTTTCCACACTGTGAAGGTAACATTGACCTGACTCTTATCGGTTTTTGGGATGGAGCAGCGGATTGATTGACATGTCGTTTGCCCACATTGCTACAATGAAAATCAGTCAGTGAGAAGCGAAGAGAAGAAACTCAGGTGCCTCTGAAATTGAAATGTGTCCACTTACTAGAAGGAAGCTAGTGAGGGATTCTTTTTTTGGTTTGTGTCTTTTATGAGGTTGAGGAAGGTTATCAGGAATGTCACATTTTACCTGTAAAGCAGCGAGAGACACGTATTAGCATTATTTCAGCTTGCTAGAAACACTCTTAGATTTTTGTCCCTGTGTGCATAGATACCCCACTGCTGGAGACAACGCGTGTGAGAAGGAGTAAGATATTTTCCAGAGGAGACAGATGTGGGTAAATCACTGTGAGCTGAAGAGATGGAGTGAGGGTGGCAGCTGCTTTCTCCACCTAAGATAAAAAGATGGAGAAGCTGAATAAGTTTTGCAATTAAAATCCAGGATATGTCAATAAAAAGTGATTTCTTGCATTGCAAATGTTACCGTGTAGCTGATGTTGACCTCCTCGAATGACTTCCAAGCATCAGGTTCTTTCAAGGAGTACTTTTCATCATCTTCCACTATTATGTGTTTATCTGTATGATCCCTGAAATGCATATTTTTAAAATTAATAAAGCACGAGCCTTGAAATGAAACCTGTAGGTGGATAGTTTGGCCACTTGGGGGCAGCAAAGAACATCAACACAAAGTCAGATCTTAATGTCCTTTTGGAGTTTGAATATTTTATGATTATTATTTCGCTTTCAGTTCAAAGTTATGCATTTATATTAAAAAAACAAGTAGACTTTGTGTGTGTGTTTTTCTGACTTTATTATCTATTTAAAATTGTGTATCTCATATGGCAGAAAGTTGAAACCTGCTTCATTATTACAATAATAATTCTGAAAAAATTCCTGTAACATTTTAGACCCTGAAACCATTGTAATAATGAAACTAATAAACATGGACTGACAAAAACAAAGCAGTGTAAGCTTTAGAAAAGACATCAGTTTATATTTAATGTTAAAACATGGCTAGTCTCACATTTTACACCTGCACCATATTACATTATAGGCTGTGAGGAAAGGGTGTCATGCCCAGATTCTTGTTTAAAATATTAGGTAATTGAGGTTGATTAAAAGCTATACAAGACTTTTACCTCCATAAGAAAGTATTCAGTCCACATCAAGCTTTCTTTATTGAAAAATATGAAAAAAGCATCTTAGAATTTTTGCAAGAGGGTTTTTAAAAATATGAAAGCTTGATAAAGCTTATTTTGAAAATACAAAATGCCTGGGCTTATTTTTTTTTTCTATGTATTAACAAAATTTTAATTATTCTAATATGGCTCACTCAATGCCTTGCAAAAAAATTCATATCCTGCCAACAGTTCCACAATAATCCTTAATTCCTCTTAACAAACTGTTTGTTCAATTAAAAACTCTAGAGTATGAATACTGCCATTCAAATTGAATTAACTTTCCTATTTTTACCTAGGATGATAATTTTGGTTGCTTCCAGACAATTTAATATGTTCTTAAGGGAATAGGACCCGATATCAAACATTGTAAGCACAACTTTTATAATAGTCATTCTTGTTTTCATTGAGAGTCATTTGGCCTATGTTAGATTCAGATTAAGTAAATAAAAGAATATACCTTATGTTGTTCTATTCCTCAGCATGTAATGTAAAAACACACATTGATAGATATATTTCATGATTTGTCAATTTTTCTGTATTCAATTGAATTATTTGAGTAGCTGAGGATGAGAGGTTTTCCCCCAAATATGGTGTTAGATAAAAAGCAAAGAGCACAAACAGAATTCTGATATCAGGAAAAAACTGAAGTAATAACAGTAAAGATGATCTATCTCTACGGAACATGCTGGAAAAATGTGAGTCGAAGATTTACGTAGCTGCTTCCTTCCTGGAAACATTTGTGGTTTGTAACCAGCAGTAACTGATAGATTGGCTTCTGGAGGCAACAATCAATGTAATTCAGTACAGGAAATAGTTTTTTATATTGCACAAGTATTGATTTTACTCTCACAATATCTAATTCATCATTGCGATGGCAGTTTTTATGTAGGTGCTGCCTTTTGTCTAAGATATGCAGTTGAGGGAGGAATCATGCAGTTGTTTTCCACAACTTGCAGCTTTCTAATAAAATAAAATGATCCAAATCACCTATTGATGTACAAATGCAATAAAAGGGATTCTTCCCCTGATATCAGGATAATTTCTATACCATATGTGTTTTCGGTGAATCAAGGAGATCTGTAGCCTGATATGAAAATATCTGATTTAATCTTTCCATCCAATAGAGTCTCCTTTTTAAAAATTCATTGCAAAAATATGGCATATATATATATATATATATATATATATATATATATATATATATATATATATATATATATATATAATAAATGTGCAAATGATAAACAACTAGGCAACTCGCATTGCTTTTGTGAATAAATTTCATGATTATGATGCTTCATCTGCAAAGATTGACCAAGATTTTCACAGCTACTTACACACTGAATAAGACTCCAGCTTTGTATTTCACAGGGATTAAGATTTGCACATCGTTGTCATGCATGGTAGATTGATCTTCTTCACTGTCACTGTAAAAATACACATTATTTTAAATGACACAACCATCCAGGTTGCATTCAGCTATCTGCAACAACACATTTGAAACAGACTCACCTTACAGCTGTCACATTGATGTGGATTTTCTCATGTATGTGTGATGAGTCCGTCTCAAATATCACTTTAAAGTGATCCTGGTGATGTTAGATGACATAATAATATTAAAAAGGAGAAGTAAAAATGATTAAAAGAGGGCAATGAACAATGGGTGTATAGATTCTTACCTCAGTATTACTGCCCAGGAAGGGATATCTAACAGCACACTCCACCCTTGTGTGATTCAGAGTGCATTCTTTCTCTGGCTAATGGCCCAAAATATAACATAATTAAAAATCATTTTTTTAGTACTTCACTGTATTAGAAGAGTGTAAAACTGACAGGGAAGCAGAAATCCTACCTCAACTTTCACATAGTTGATGTTGGGTGTGAAGACAAGAACAACCTTGGTATTGTAGGCGCTGTCTTTTTTGTTCCTGATGTCAATGTTCACATCAATCTTATCCTTTGTGTTGACTTGGATCAGCATGCTGAAGTAGTAGAAGTAGTGTCAGCATGAATGACTGTCATACTTATGTTCTACCACAGGGAGGCACTCATGCTCTAGTTCACTTCCTGGACAATTACAAAAATCTGTAGACTCTACCTTTAGACTTAACTGTTTATGTCTGTTATACATTTCGCTCTCAGATGACTTTGATTAAAAATCTTACTGGATTATATCAAAAATGAGATCTATATGTTTTCTGTTTAGGGTCTACTATGTGTCAAAATGCAAGGATACTTAAAACATCTTAGAGTATTTCATACCTTTTCACACTTGGCTCTGCTTTGAGGGAGAGGTCAGTAATGCACCTTTCATGATCTCCACATTCCACCAAAGGAATCTTAAACACAGATATAATGCAGAGAGGTAAACATTTAAGTTTTAAAAGGGTTATCTTTATTCAAAATACAAATTTTCTTCAATGAATTATTACTGGATGTCGTAAACTAAAAAAAAAACAGTTAAGACCTGAGGCAGCATTCTGTACTTTGCAAAAGTCATCATAACTGTGAAAACTTTTTTTCCCAGTTTTGTGACATTACAATCAGTAGTTCATGTGGCTAACACAATATAGAGCATAACTGAGTCGAAGGAAAAATTGTACATCATTTTAAACATTTTATACAAAAAAAAAACATGATAGTTGACATGGATTAGCATTTATAACCCATTTACTCTGCTACCTTTTATTAAATCCAGTAGCATCAAACGCCTTTATAAGTCACACAACGTTTAGATAGTCAACCACCTAGTTAATTACTCTAAATATAATAAATTTGTTACACAGCATCATGAAAAGCAAGGATTACACCAGACAGGTATGGGAGAGAGAGGAGAAGTCTTAAACAGGGTTTGTCAGCCTGGAAGATATGTATAAAAAACAGTAAGAAACTTTGTCAGCGCTGCAGAGTTAACAGGACAACTATTAGTAAAGGACTTTACAAAGCTGCTTTTAAAGAGTTAAAAAAGGAGCACTAAATGAAAGAAATACAGTTACAGGTTAGCCACAAGACATGTTGAGGTTGGTAGTTGCACTCTTCCATGTCTAACAAAAAGCAGGCACTGTGCAGCTGACTGAACAATGAATCCTTATGGCGAAACAAGGTGCTGGAAGCATTATAATGCAGGGGGGATTTTAAAAATAGGGATAAGGAGGCTGATTACAGCTGATGAGATAGATAATCATACAGTATAACGAAACTCTAATGGCTGCTTGGAGGATATTTTTACTGACCCTGCTTTGAAATCTAAAACTTAACACTTCTCTCAATAGTAGTGGTCCAAACTACCTATCTACTGTAGGGGATTTGGGTGATCTTTCAGGCATTTCTGATGTTTAGTATCAGTAGTATTTCTTTAATAAGAATTTATTTAGAAAGAAACTTTTTGAGTAAACGATAGGATGTATATTACACAAGCAGTTTGCAATTTGGGAAACAGGCTGGATTCAGAGTAGTTTGATTTTATCTGCCTGTTTTTAAAGTAACTGTGAGCATCCAGACAAGACAATGACTTCTAGGCAAATGTCTAAGTCTAAATATCCTATTTTCAAAAAGAGGAAAATACCTACAAGTTTCCCTATTGGTTGATTTGGAGTGGCAAACTGCATTGCTGCTTTCAGTCTAACACTAATGGAGGTCAGGCAGACAGCAGTGTTGGCACAAATGTATTTCCTCTGTGACACAGAAACAGGCCCTTATAATCTAGGCATGAAACAGATGCCTACTTCTAGCCATTATCTGGGAGGATAGATTACTGTAGCAGTTATCTGTAAACCTTTATGTTGAAGCAAATATGCACGTGGGAGTGTGGGAAGATTTCCATGGCCATTAAAACAGAGGCAGACTTGTTGGAAACACTGCAGGATGGCAGTCAGCTGTTGAAGATATGAACTCATTCGTACAGCAGCACCTTCAGTTCCAGCAGAGGAATTTCTTGCTCATGTTTTATAAAGATAAACAGACAGAGTTTAAGTTGGCGGAAGTCTAAATCTTTCTGTCTGAAACACTTAAAGGAGATTTTAAAAAGTAGTTCTCTGTGCTGAATGAGGTGTAGCTATCTGTGCCATGTTATCTTCTCTATCTTCTCTATAACTGTTACACACTCAAAACCTGAAAAAATACCGATGTTCTATTTCTTTCAAATTTTATTTTCTCATTTTTTCACATTAACTTTCCATCCATCTTCTCCTGCTCAGTCCTATCGGTGGGGGGCAGTGGGGCCACTGCCTATCTCCATGGGCGAGAGGCGGGGTACACCCTGGACAGGTCGCCGATCTGTTGCAGGGGAACACAGAGACACACAACCATGCACACACACACACACTCACACCTAAGGACAATTTAGAGAAGCCAATCAACCTAACAGTCATGTTTTTGGACTGTGGGAGGAAGCCTGAGTACCCGGAGAGAACCCATGCATGCTTAGGGAGAACATGCAAACTCCATGTTAAAATAATCAAACCCAGAACCTTCTTGCTGCAAGGCAACTCTCAGGTTTGGTAGAGGTTTTGAGGACCCAAATGCAGAGAGGAGTGGGCACGGGTGAGTTTGGATGATTAAATGTAAGTCCGAGGGAAACAGAGGCAAAAATCCTAAATACAAAAATACTGAAAACCAAACAAAACCAATAAACGTCAGGAAAAAAACTCGAGGGAAGCAAGAGACTAGGAAGCAACTAACATCTTCAATACACAAGAAACCAGCGCTGAAAGAAGGTTTTGGTGCTCTTTTAAACCCAGCACTATGATAATTAAGATTACTTTAACCTGTGTAGGCTACCCAAGTTCTCCACAAAGATCCTCTATCGTAGAGATGCACAACTTGCACTAACACACACACAGAAACCCTGACAGTAACAGTGCTACCCACTGCATAATCATGCAGCCCTCACATTAATTTTGCATAGGATACATTTGTTTCTTTAAATACAGATTATCTTACTGACATGCAACAGTTTCCCGAAATACCCTGACAACACATTTTAATTAATTGTTAGCCATAGATTTCTAGCCATATAAAAAAGGATATGTAGGCTACAACCCTATTTGCATGAGATTTATTTACCTTTAGGGCCCATATGGTTTGTAGAAATTGCAGATTTTGCCTTTGTTATTAATCCTGTGTGAATCAACTATGTCAGTAGTTTGTAAAGTAACCCCCACCCACTGCAAACTACCTAATATATTATGCTGAACTCTAGGGTCCCATGATTATACCAATACAATGTAAAAATGTGTCTGTGTTTTAGACAGAAATTGGAAGAATAGAATGAAATGAGGCATCAAAAAGAAAAGGGTGAACAAATCTTAAAACAGAAACAAACAAATACGGTACAAGGATGGTAATGAGAGGAAGTGCTGGACACATGCAGCTGTTCTTCCGTGTTTCTTGCTCTTTTTTTTTTGCGGATGGACTTTTCTATTTCTGACACAGTTAAACATGGGACATTGTTTCAATTTGTGGGACAACAGGATAATAGTGAAAAATGCGGCACTGATCACTGTGCTTTAAGAATCCCTTTTCTTCTGTCTTCTGTTTGCAGCCGTCTGTTATACAGCTGGCTAGCATTGGCTGTAGCACACAGCACTGAACAGATGTTACACAATATGCAATCAATTAACATCGTATCCAACACATATCTGTAAATTTCAGCAAAGTCTCAGGCTGTGGTTATCTTTGCAAAACCACCACATAAAAAGCTGCCCGTGGGTGGAGGGGTGAGTTATTACAATGGGTCCCCAGATAATGTTTATCTGAAATCTGATAACGATTATCTGAAAATATTTTTTTCAGTCGACTAAGGTTATTTTAAATACACATACAATATAATTTCATAGGGAAATGCTTTGTAGGGGTCCTTACATCGTTAAAGAAGATAATTTATTTACACCAGAGTTGGAATATTTATCGTAGGATGGAAGGAAATGAAATTATATAGTGCAAGTTTAAAAGATCTTTAATTTGAAAAATTTAAATCTTTATTTGAAATTCTGAGAGATCTTAAACAACGCGATATCTGATTGTTTTTTAATCACACAATTTCTAAAGCATTTGTCTCTGATTTTTTTTAAAACATCAGCTCTTTTCATCTCAGTTTTAGTCATTGAGGAAGAGACTACTTTGTTTCTGTCAGAACAAAACTGGTTGTTGTCCAAAAGGTTTTGAAGCAACCTAGTCAAAATAACCTAACCCTTAATTTAATCTGTGACATAAATGTGGGCATAATCAAACAGTTTTTCAAAGAATAGTAGGTCAAAATTACTTAATAGTAATGTAAAAGACTGGATGTGCCAGTAATCCTGAACGCTTGATTCCACTACCTGTTGAATAAATATTTATCATGGTATATTACATGGTTTTGTTTTCTCATAAAGCCAAAAATGGTTGGATAAGTTTTTTCCGTAAATATGTGAAATGATCCTTTGTAAAAATTGTTTTACATGTATTTATTTATGTTTTGACAGATAGTAAAACTTTTTTGATCTAAAACATTCAGGGTGACAATAAAATAATGATAGAAACATTTGGTAGGAGGTCCTTTTATAGAACACTACAAGGAAAGGAAATAAAAGAAAAGGTTCAAATCAAGCTTTATTAACTCAGAAAATATTAATTTGTGTAAAAAAAAATATTAGATGTATCTTTAAGATTTTTGGTTTAATGTTGTTTAGTATGGATTAGTGCACTGAAACAGCTGAATGACAGAGAGGTCTTACCATCTCAGTGATAGATTTGGGTAGAGTTTCATCCAGAACAGGGCCTTGATCCTCATTAACAAGCCCAAAATCCAAAGTAACACTGAGTGGATCTCTGAAATCCGGTCGGTCCTGAGGCAGAGAAGATAGATAAAATGAAAATAGTGACAAAACTGAGGAGACAGCAAAAAAAAAATAAAAAAAAATGAAAAACATGGAGGCAGCTTCTCTGCTGCAAAAGAGACATGCTGCAGATGATTAAAGGTATAGTGGAGGATGCCTTTTTTCCTGGTGAATCATAAAAATAAGTGGTCGTCCTAATTGTCAATAATTCTGGTGATTTGTTAATGTAATGCCATCCTACGTGCTCGTCCGTATTTTCAGTTACCGGTGGTGAGTCTGACATATTGGAAAAATTGCAAAGCTTCTTTTGGAAACTGAGCTTGTATGAGTGATGCAAACAGCAGCTTTTAAACAGAGCGTGCAAGAGGAGTAATGGGCTTGTGCACGCTCTCACACGCGTTTAATAGACGTTCCCTCCTGGGAGAGGATACATGGTTGTGCATTTGCTTATTTTTTTTTTTTTTTTACGTGGAGGGCGGGTATTTTCAAAAATTCACGAGAATCCTCTACTATACCTTTAAGTAATATTTTTGTGACAGTATCACTATTCTTACTCTACCAGAATGAGAAACTTGAGCTTTTTGGAGATGAGGTGAAAAAGCAGTAACCAATGGATATTAAATCTGGAAGCTTTAATCTTTTCTCGACATACATGACCAACTGTCATGGAATTCCTCAAGTGCAAGTCTGACATGTGCAGTTGCTTGAAATGGTAACTCTGGGAATATTTAAAACAGCTAAAAGCATTTCAATCCCTCAGCAATGAGTATTTAATGTTTGCATGTCACAACTAGAGCTGTATTGATTGGACCATTAGAAAAGGTTTAGAACCAATGCTACTATGTCATCCTGGATGCAAATCTCTCAAGAAAACCTTGCAGCTACTTGTGTGATCCATGGCACGAAGATTTAAGAGTGTTTTGAGAACAAGCATTAGCCCACGACTGTGTTAGCAAAGTGTTTTAAGTTAGTGTACAGAGAAAACTTTATGGGTAAACCACCCAATTTTTTACTTCAAACAAAAACACCAAACCAGTCGACGAGCAAAGGTCAGACCATCAGGATTTATCTTCAGGGACCCATGAATGTCTGCTCAGATTTATATGCCAGGCCATGCGACAAATGCTAAAATGGTGTATGTTCTTTTAAGCTGCAGGGTGGAGCATTGCTACCCGGGCAGTTAACAGATACATTTTTAAGGCTGGAAAGCCAAATCTTTGAATGTTTTTTTCTTTTTTTTTTCTTCCATTACTGTTAGCAGATAATTGAATGGGGGACTGGTGGGTCTATCAAGCAATTTCAAAAACCTCTCAGTAAAATCTTACAGCAACTGATCTTTTGTTTGTCAAACAAAACAAAAACTCTTGCATAAAAAACTTTTCCTCCTAATGCACTGTACTTTCTCTGAGCTAAAATTAGTAATTATTACTTGATAGGGGTTTTATATAGATCAAGAAAGTGATCTATTATTATTGTAAAGTGAAGTAAAATGATAACTAACATGTGACATCAAGTTAACCCTCTTGTTTTTATATCCCTACATAAAATCAAACCAGAGGTTAGGTTAGTTAAACATGTGTTTAAATGAACCTTAGTTTCATTCTGACATAAAAGCCTCAGAATATAACTCAAACATCATCACCTTGACAGAGGAACATTGCAGACAGGTCAGTGATAAAGTTTCGGGGATTTTATTTTTTAACCAATTTTGACCATTGAGAAACCATATCTTTTGATTTTAGTGTATTAACCTTTTTCTCACGTTAAGGATGTACTAAAAAATGTTTTCTTACTTCTGTTAAAATCCATTTTGGATTTCTTCCGCAAAAGTTTAAAAAATAAACCACTGGACTTGGTTTCCAAGGTTTGAAGACGTTTCGCTTCCCGTCCAGGAATTGATAAAGCTTCCTGGATGGGAAGCGAAATGTTTTCAAACCTTGGAAACCCAGTCCAGCGGATTGTTTTTTAAACTTTTACAGAATGACTATGACCTGGATGACTGAGAATCTTCATCAGCATCTTGGATTTGGTCATACCACTACAGTAACTTCATTGCTACAAAAGTCAACTTGGAGAAAGAAAGCTCAAAGTTGAAAGTATCTGCATAAATGGGTCATTTCTGAGCAATATTCAATAAACTAGCCCAAGGATTATTGTTGTTCAACCATTTGACCTGACATAGATTCTCTAAGGTTCACTGTGTGTCTTATTTTCACCACAGTAAAAAGTCTGCAGTTGGCCCCTGCAGGAACAGCCAAGGAAAGAACAGAGGCATATTTTATGTCTAGGACAAGTTTCTGGGCGCTGGCTTGGAATATGTCGGGACTTTTTTTACAGACTGGCACAGTAGAACAGTGCTGATATTCATGATCTGCACACACAGCAACAGCAGCTGCTTCCACTGATTAGTTCCTCTTACTGTTACTTAAGGACAGCTAATCAGTGAAAAAAAAAACCTGGCACCAAACAGAAACCAAGAGAAATGGAGATGTTTGCTGTTTACAGAAAATTCTGAAGAGGTAACATTAAAAGGCATCAGCCATAACAAACAGGAAGTTATGTAGTTCTTACGTCTGCAAAAAAACGCCTTCAAATGGAGTGCCCCCTTTTTGTCCCCTATAACACACATAGTTAATATCCTTGTAAAGTTACTTTATGAATTCAAGTTCCTCCTGCATCTCTCCATGTGTGTTTAGATCTGATTAAGATGAGGGGTACAGCATCCTCTCATTATGATGGTCGTGTCGTGTTAGAACTAAACTCTTCTTGCTCTTCAAACAATCTTTCACAGGTGTTTGCTTTCCTGAACAACTAATCATTATTCACATTTTACCTGCAGCAAAAACTTAAAACAAAAGTTGTGAAATTAACCTGCAGGCAAATTTAAAAGTTCAAGTATCTGCGGATTGCTTTTGCACAGAAAGGTACAAAACCAATAACCCCCTCAGTCAAAGTACTTGCCGACATGAAGAATGTTTCACTCCTGCATTTTTTCTCTCCGTCTTTAATGCTGAATGTCTTTGTCATCTTACGATCAACTTTGTCTGGGTTGTTTACAATAAATGAAGCTCTGGCTTTGGAACGCAGGGCATCCAGAGTTATATTGTAGCGAATTGCTAGAGGACAGAAAAACAGAAATGTTAGAAAGAAAACATTTATTGGTGTTCATTTAAAACTACATGTGGTAAGAAGCTGGAGAAGCACAAAATGCTTGATGGCTCACCTGTTTCTGACTTTGCACCCTTCTTCTTCTTCGACTTAACATGGTATGTAAAGCAGACCTCTGTGGTCACACAAACATTAGGTCTGTCCGGTCTACATGGACGAGTCTGCTGCAGGTTGATTTTAACAGGATCGAAGGTCATCTTAGCATGAAGCTCTGCGACATCTCTTGACCTTTTGAAACAAAAAGACAAAGACAACTGGTTAAGATTAAATGTTTCTTATTTGAAAGAAACAATTCTGCAGACTGATGGGATAAAATTACAATGAAACAATTTCACACAATCCAGCAAAAAAAGAAGCTAACAAAAAAACAAAAAATAAAATAAAAACAGTGTTAAAGAGCATGTCCAGGATTATTCTGACAAAGGAAGACTCCATATCAAAAAGTTCAGAATTAACCATGATCGTTTTTACCTGCTATTTTTCTTTTATTCATCAAGTAAAAAAAAAAACTGCCCTCTGTGGTTGTTTTTCTAGCAAGTAATTGCTAAAACTAAAGAGTTTAGTAGGGATCTTCAGCTGCATTTTCTGGCTGCTCAAAACTCAACAAAGGCCTACAAATATATATATATATGTATGTGGGTTCAAGTGGCCATAGTCCTTCCATCATTTTATCCAGGGTTGGGTAACAGGGGTAGCAGCTTCAGTAGGGAGGCTCAGATGTCCCTTTCCCCAGCGTCTTGGGCCGGCTCCTCAGGGGGAATCCCAAGGCATTCCCAGGCCAGCCGAGAAACATAGTCCCTCCCTCCACCGTGTCCTGGGTCTCCCTCATGGTCTCCTTCCAGTGGGGACGTGCCTGGAACACCTCACCAGGGAGGTGTCCAAAAGGTATCCTGACCAGATGCTGGAACCACCTCAATTAGCTCCTTCTCAACGTGGAGGAGCAGCGGGTGTACTCTGAGTCCTCCCCGGATGACTGAGCGCCTGACCCTATCTCTAAGGGAGAGCTCAAACACACTACGGAAAAAACTCATTTCGGACGCTTGCATCCGGTCATGACCCAAAGATCATGACCATTGATGAGGGTAGGAACATAGATCGACTGGTAAATCGAGACTTTTGCCTTTACAGCGCCTGCTTCAAAGCAGAAGCCATACCAATCCTCCTGTCCCATCTTCCCCTCATTCGTGAACAAGATCCCAAGATACTTAAACTCCTCCATTAGGGGCATCATCAGTGCATCATCCCCAACCCGGAGAGGGCACTCTACCCTTTTCCAGCTCAAGACCATGGTCTCAGATTTGGAGGAACTGATCGTCATCCCTGTGAGAGCTGGAGATCATACCACGATCAAACCAATAGAACCACGTCATCCACGGATAACAGAGACGTGATCCTAAGGCCACCAAAATGGATACCCTCAACACCTTGGCTACGGCTAGAAATTCTATCCATAAAAGTTATGGACAGAAGTAGAATCAGTGACAAAGGGCAAATTTGGCGGAGTCCAACTCTCAATGGAAATAAGTCTGACTTACTGCCGGCAATGCAGGCCAGGCCCTGACACCGGTCATACAGAGATCCAACAGCCCTTATTTAAGGGCCCGCTACTCCATTCTCCTGGAGTACCCCCCACAGGACCCCCCGAGGGTAGAAGGCCTCCTCAAGATCCACAAGACACATGTAGACTGGTTGGGCAATCCCATGTACCCTCCAGGATCCTGCCATAGTACATAAGTAAAATTATTGAACAAGACTTTTCACACTGTCCAAGATTTCAGAGGATGCGCATCAGCGCTGATGGCGCAAGAGTAGAATAAGAATCCCAGGATCACATTATTGGCTATCTTGATATCTTTTTAGGATTTGGAATTATTGTTGTCATTACTAATAAAAAGTTTTTTTTCTTTCAAAGAAAATATTTAAAATTCTCAATCTGCCAAAGGTACTTTTAGCTTTAATTGTAGTCATATCTTTGCCTTACACATTAACAGCCTCTCACAAAAGGAACTTAAATTTTGCTTTTGTAAAATTTAAGTTGCATTAACTTTTTAAATAGAAAAAGCAATAAGCTAATTTTTTGTTTGGCAAGCATAGAAAATGTCTTCTCAGTTTCTTCTTTTAAATCTTTTTATAATACAGCCATCAGTAAAGGGGGAGCCTCTCCCTGCTGCCAAATCCTATTTAGGATCTAAGCCACTTGGGATATGGAGTTTTCACACAGCTTTGCTAACCCCCTACCAGCAGATGTGGGAGAAGATCTTCTTGGGAAACTAAGTCATAATGTGGGTGGGTTCAGCATACTGCTGTCCAGCAGTGAAATACTGAATGTGGGCGGGGGTTTTAGCACAGAGATCATTAAGGAAACCGCTTGTCTTCACATTACAAGTCCAATGGGAGACATGCACAGCTGTAAAAACCCAGAATAAGTCAAAAGCAAAGTGGACGTGTAAGATGATGCCTTTGGGAAATGAGGGCTGCTGATAGCCATGATTGAAGTGGAATGCATAATGCAAACGTTGGATGTTTATATGCAAGGAAAGGTCTTTTTACCAGAACAGGGATGCCCCTCCTAGACCTCCTATGGTAACATCGATGATTCCATCTCCATTTAGATCCATGATTCCATGTATGGACTGACCAAAGAACTTAACTTTTTGTCCATTACCACCTGCAGGGATGTGCTTTACAAAAGGCAGAGACACAGGCAAAGGTCATTATCAGAAGCAGTTGGCAGTTTTTTCATGATGTTCACTTTAAAATGGGAAAGCTTTCTGTTATCGCTAGACTTTAAAAAAATAAAAACAAACCACATACAGTTTTGTTGGATTTGGCCTATGTGAGTCTAACCTGTACGAAGCTCTTTTTCAGTGACCGATTGTTGCTTCCATGATAGATGTAGACGGCTCCGCTGTGGTCATTCTCAAAAGGTGCGCCGATCACCACATCATTGAACCCATCAAGGTTGAGGTCTGACACAGCGGCAATGGCTGTACCAAACCGAGCTCCACATGGCTCATTTTTAATAGAGCAGCCATCTGATTGGGGCGTACAGCAGGACTGCTTGACCGGCTGTAAGTTAAACTTGTGCACAAACTTGCCCTCCTGAAAATATAGACGATTTTCTCATAAAGTCATCTTTCTATTGAGGACATTCAGCAGCAAAAAGACGATGTGGTAATATTTTCTCATTATATACCTCAAATTTGTAGACATAGACCTGACCCTGCTCATCTCTTTCAGCACCCATGTACATCGGAGCTCCGACCAAAAGGAGGTCTGTGTAGAAGTTATTGTCCACATCAACAGTCTGTAGGACGCTGCCGAAGTAGGAGCCAATCTACAAGAAGAAACGGTAAAATGTCAGCAAATGAGGACCTGTTAGATATCTGGTTTTTCTGAGATACTAAAAAGATGTGCTATTAAGCTTTTTTTTTTTAATGAGTAGGGATCATGTTGCAAACTATATGTAGTAACACACATACAGGTTAAACCATCAATTTACCTACACTGAATAAAAATATTATATTTTCCTCGCTATCTGATTTTAACCCAAGAAAAGCCTTTTCTGTTTTTGGTCAGTTAAGAATATAAAAGCGAAGTTTTAATGTCTCATAAACAATTTGTGACTGTCCAAATGATGTTATTATTTGGCAAGTTTCTGATTTCTTTTAAACATTTTATCTAAGTGGAGTCATGAAAGTGATTATCTTTTAAAGCAACATCTCATTCGCACAGCTACATGGTGTTAAATCAAAGAAAGGAATCAGAAAAGATGTCGGTAAGATAGTTCTGTCCTAAACATCATTAGGTATAATAATCTATCTATTATACAGCTGAGAAAAAAGGCAATAGAGCTTATGAAGATGGTGACCAAAGTTGGGAGGACAGGGTGATTATCCAAAGTGAAATATGACATGGGTTAAAAGGCCATTCAGCAAAGACGAGGTCATTTTTTTTTTTTTTATCAGGAGGTGATTGGAGTTTAATTATGCACTAAAGACAATTACTTTAGCTTTTGGAAAAGTGATATTGTCTAATGAAATTAAAACTCAGGTCTTTAGTCAAACATCATCACATGTACACCATCCTAATATGTGGTAGCATCATGCTGGGAAGGTTTGGGTTCAGGGGGTTTGGTTCACAAGATTTCTGGTGCTGCTCACAAAATAGATAGAACCAAAAAAACAAAAAAAACAAATTCAAATAAAATATTAAATAAATATTAAAGCAACAATTCAGACGTCAAGGAGTTAAAGCCTCAGCACAAATGGGATTTTCACCTCAACACTGATGAGTTGAGGACAACAAAAATACCATTGCATGGCCATGTTAACGGTCTCATTGCGGTTCCATAAAATTTGAAAGCAGGTGGTTTTTAAGGTTTGTGCCAACAAGATAGTTTACAAACCTGACCCAGTTGCACAATTTCTGTCAGAATGAATTAAACAATATTGCAACTAACTACTGTTTAACTGTAAGCTAATGGAAGTCACCTGGAACATTTGACCCAATCTAAGAAAGTTGGGAAAGGGGGAAAAAGGAAATGCAATTAATTGAAAAGAAGCACAATTGCACTTTTTTAAACTGTACAGTCAATAAATGTATATTATTAACAGAGTAAGCCATGTCTGCTGGATGGATATACAGTAAGATTGAGTTAGTTGTAATTTCTTTCAGTTTCAGATTGGCAACTACTATTTTTGAACAATTTTGGAAGTGGCTTTAAACTCTTCTCAGATTAATGGGCAGCAACTTGTGCTTCTCAAATGTTATTCCTGATGCTGTTCCTCTTAGCATTGCCTTAATGAATCACTGTATTCTTGTTACCCAAAAACTGTCAAATATCCTCCTATTAAAGAGACAGTCAAACTTGCTGATAATCACTAAGTGGATTACCACAGTGCTACTGCGTAATTCCATTCTGGAATCATCAAGGATGATGTTTCTTTCAAAAATGAACTCAACTTGTATCTGGTCATGACCCAAAGATCATGACCGGATACAAGTGTCCGAAATGAGTTTTTTCCGTAGTGTGTCTGAGCTCTCCCTTAGAGATAGGGTGAGGAGCTCAGTCATCCAGGGAGTACAACCGCTGTTCCTCCACATTATTTTTCAATATGTGTTTATATTAAAGGTAATATACATGTTAATAATATATTTTCACTAAGCTAGTGGCACATTTCAGCAAATATTATATTTACAGAGATAAACACTCACCTGCTCCCCATTCAGTGTCTGCAAAACTTTAACACTGTTGTCCTTATTCAGGCGGTAGATAACTACGCGGCCTGTATGGTTGTATCGGGGTGCCCCAGTGATGTATAACACTCCGTCAGACGTGAGAGCAGACTGTACGTCATACCCTGCAAAAACAAATTACACACAATGTTCAAATCAGAAAATACGAAATTTCACCAAACTACCAACACTGTCTGTTTCTACTCAATTTACCTGCTCTGCCCCTGTCTATTCCTGCTGATGCACTTGATAAGGATCATTGTATTCACTATTTTGCTTTGCTGCTGTGGCTCTAATTGCTGTGCAATCAAGCCAGCCTGCTGCACCTGCGTCTCTACCGTTATATTATGTTTTATACTGGCAAGGAGTTGCCAGATTATTGAAAGCTGTAGACAACTAAAATGTGCAGTGTTGTTCCCTTGCCTGCCTGCCTGCCTGCCTTTCATAGTGTTTCTGCCTTTCTGTCTTCAAAGCTCTGGAAATCAACCCTGCTCCGCCTCCCGATTACAGTTCCTGCCCAGGTCTACGATTTGTCAGGCTTTATCTGCTGTCCTGTGTTTGACTTTATGTCTATGTCCTAACTATTTCACTTTATTTTTGTTTTTTATTTCCCAGGAAGGATGAAGAATCATCCCTTTGTTAATGGAGATTCTGCAGAAATTTTTATGACTTCAGAGAAGAGAGTTCTTGATTCTGTTGCTGGTGGTTTCCAACCACTTGGGTTTTTTAATACCATATTTTCACGACTATAAGGCGCACTTAAACGTCTTTTTTTTTCCCTCAAAATGTGCGGTGCGCCCTTTGGTGCGGTGCGCCCTATGTGTGTTGTAACTGCGACTTTTGAGACCACCTCATTGAGGAGATGATGAAAGAGTGGCTGAATGTAAGAAGGCCAGGTGTTTTTTTTTTTTTCCCCCCCCCCCTTTTGAGACCACCTCATTGAGGAGATGATGAAAGAGTGGCTGAATGTAAGGAGACCAGGTGGTTTTTTTTCCACTCATCAGTTAATCTGTGACTCCATGCGTGCCCATCTCACAGCTGATGTAAAAAACATGGGGAAACAAATGAACGCTGTGCTCGCTGTTA